ACGAATGACCATCCAGATTCTTGTAATACCTCATCTTCTATTTCATTTATAATTTTATTATATCCTTTTTCTATACTTGCATTAATTCGATCTTCTCTTATAATTTTTATTGTATTTTGTTTGAATGGAATTGTTTTTAATATTGGCTCTTGAGATTCTGATGTAATTTTCTTTATATATGCTAATAATACAATTCTTACCTTTAATCCTCCTTTTAAACTTAATTCTCTTTTATATACATTAGCAATTTTTTCCTCGGTTGACTCAAAGAAAGCTAATGGCTCACCTTCAGCAAAATATCCTTTGGAAACAAATGCGTAATAATCACATACTTCACCTTTATTAAATTTTTCAGCTTCTGATATTCTATTAATATATGGATCTACAATTTTCTCGAAATAAATATCTGGATCTTCATCTGCTGTATCATATTCTGAATCACTGGGTTCACTACCTTTATTGTCATCATTCGACTCCATTAAATCAAACCATTCTTCGTCTGTCTTTGGTATAGGTTTTGACCTAATCTTTTTATTATTTTTAATTTCTGGTTTTGATAACCATTTTAATAACTCATCTATTGTTAAAATTGATTTCTTTTTTTGTTCTCCTTGAATAATAGAACTTGGTCCCGCTTTTATATCGTCAGTTAAAAGGTCGTCTGCCAGCGCATTTACTTTTTCCGACGTTGGTGGGTTTTCATCGAATGATATGAGATCACCTTCAGGAGTTGGTGTTGGATTTTGTGCCAGGATTGGGTTTTTAGTGGGATTTTGAATGAGTGGATTTCCTACTGGGACTAGGTTTTGCATTAAACGCAAAGCTGTTTGACATTGTCCTTTACGAAGGTTTCTATTTAAATTCATATGTTTATTAAGATCTCGAGTTTTACTAGTTCTTATTTCTCGATCACAACCTGGATATTTAAGTATCTTAGCCATAGTAATATGTTTTTTCGGTGTTTTTTATTAATATGCCAGATCTTTTGTTTAAATAAAAAATAATTATTTATTTATTGAAATGTTTAGTGAATATATCGAGGGAGGTAAATATATCAAAAAGTCAGAGTGTAAATATACATGCGAATATATACACAATTCTGAAGAAGTTTGCAGATGTGGGTGTCGACGTCCTGAAGGGTGCCATGAACATTGGAGATCTAAAAAATATATTTTATGTGATGATTGTGAAAAACCTACAGCTTCTGCTTGTGGATGTTGCAAAAAACATTCTAAAGGATATTATGTCATACAATTTTATGCTCGATAACTTCAGATGCTTAAAGACCACCCATGACTCTTCAAGTCATCCTTCGGGCCTGCAAGACAATAAAATTTAACTATCTTTTTTACCATAGAAACCTAATTGATAACTAAAAGATTACTATGCTCTGCTTCGCTCCACAACTGCATCACTCATACCTAAGGTGTATACTCCTTAGTGTTAAGAAACTAATTGTGAATTAAACAGATAACTAATGCTACGCTACGCTTTGCATTCGGAGTCGCTATGCTCCTCCAATACAAAAAACCAAATAGAAATCAAATATGATAACTATGCTCTGCTTCACTCCACAACTGCGTCATACACCCTTAAGGGAGTGTACTCTTTAGTAATAGAAAGCTAAATAGTAATTGAAATAGATATCAAAAAAATACACCAAGCGTAAAGTATATATAAAAATACACTATTCATGTAAGTTTTTTATATGTTATATATAAGTTATATAAGTTATCAAGAATATG